GAATGTCTTGTTGCGTGCCCCTGCAACTAGTGTCACAGGATGCCAGACTGGCTCCACGCGCACGCTTACTTCGGCCAGAAAGCTCACTGAATCCCTCAGGGGTGGAGAAACGTGTGTCCACAACCGATGCCCTATGTAGTCGTGGAACGAGAGACTGCAATCATCAGAAAGCTTCAGTAGCATGTGTCCAGCGCATTGTCCACAGCGTGGCATTTTCCAAGAACGCGCAAGTAAGTCGGGTTCGGCAAACGAAGAGTGAATGCAGGCATGCCCATGGATAAACATCTGTACGCGTAAAACAATTATCTACTCCTTTCAACCGTTTGTCGGTTGCGAGGAAGCTCTTGCCATGATCTGGTCTTTTTTTGCAGACGGCGATTTCGGCAATAATACATGACCATCAGGCACGCGATGGGGCTACCTTAGGGGCTTCATCGCCCCGAACAGAGTACCGACCGGGCCGACACAAGGTCACTTCCATTGTCTCTTTTCTTGTCTGCCATGCAGCGTGGTTCAGGGTCACCATTAAGCGTGCAGTTTACAAAAGGAAGCGGCGATGCTCCTCAGAATAGTCGGGGAAGCTCCTCGAAAGATATTTTTGACAGCCTGCGGGCATGTCGCTGTGGGCGAGGGGGGGGCTTGCGGGACGGACTAGCACTCGAACCAATGTACCAAAAACCGCCCCACGCCCCAACCCCACCGTGTACATGCATGCTTTTGGGTTACAAACATAAACAATATATAAAATAAGATTCTCCTTTGAGGAAATGTCGGATTTGTAGTGGTGTAGGCTCCCATAAAAGGAGGAGAGAGCAAGGGAATAGATTAAAACGACATAGCCAAGAATTGACAATTGCGAAACATATGACCCACACCAAAAAGCTGATGAGAGGGAAAAAAGAGGGAAAGCATTAGAGGGATGAAGCCAGAGAGAGAGCGCACCTGCACAGGCAAACCCCCTTGCGCGTCGGCTAAGGTGGGATCGGCGCCGTAATGGAGCAATAGCCTGACGACAGACTCCTCCCCTGGAGGGAAAAGGAGAGTCAATGGGCAAGGACATGGAAATGAGGGAAAGGGAGGGGGGGATAGTCAACGGACGCGCAAAAGAGGGAAAGAAAGGAGGGGGAAGACAAGGAGCACCAGGGAGGGAAAGAGGGGGGGGGGAGGG